ACGTTCTGCTCTCCTGGCTGGTGACCTAATTCCCATCATCCCCAGCCTATAGGCTGCTGAGCATCCCCGCCTCTCCAACTTTGCGGCTTCTTATTCCAGCCTTCCCCCCCTCCCCCCCATTCTCTGCTTTTTCAGGATTAATGGGGTCCCTGCAGTGAATTCTCCCTGGGGTATGTCAATCTTTGAGCCACTTCCCCCCCCCCTCTCAGCCCAACCCACCTCACCCCACTGCTGGGGAAAATAAAAGGAGATGGCTCGCCAGGTGAAGCAAAGAAGGAAGCCGGGATACAGTGTGCTGTTCTGCCAGGCAGTGGTGGATGATGGTTTGTGGCTACCCCAAACTCCTCCAACTCCTCCTCTTCCTCCTCCACACCCTTCCTCCCTTCTAGCACTGATGTTGTTACCTAATTGGGTCATGAAATGTCTGCAAGAAAACCACCAAGCTCAGAGAGCACCAAGGGCCCCTCAGTTGTCCTCCTCCTCCTTCTCCTTCACCTCCTCCTCCTCCTCCCCCTTCTCCTCCTCCCCACACCCTTCCTCCCTTCTACCACTGATGTTGTTACCTAATTGGGTCATGAAATGTCTGCAAGAAAACCACCAAGCTCAGAGAGCACCAAGGGCCCCACAATCTTCCTCCTCCACCTCTTTCTCCTTCTCCTTCTCTTCCACCTTCTCCTACTCCTTCTCCTCCCTTCCTCCTCCCCCTTCCCCTCCTCCTCCCCCTCCCCCTTCTCCTCCTCCTCCTCTCCACACCCTTCCTTCCTTCTAGCACTGATGTTGTTACCTAATTGGGTCATGAAACATCTGCAAGAAAACAACCAAGCTTAGAGAGCACCCAGGGCCCCACAGTCCTCCCCCTCCTCCTCCTCCTCGCGCTCCAGGTGAGACGGACCCCTGCCTCCACGCGCAAGGCGGGTCCAAAGGAGCCAGTGGCAGAACTTCTCCTGCGGAAGGCATCCAATTCGTGGGGAGGGAAGCTCGCGGTTTCTTTCTTTCCTTTTGAAGAATGTTAATTGCCCAGTGCAGGGGAAGCGCCAGTCGCCCTGGAGGATGTTCAGCACGTGGACCGGAGGAAACCGTCCGTCACGTGGAGATCCTGGTTACGACACGGTCAAGAGACGCCTCCAGGAATCTTCGCATTCGGGCTGCGTCACTCCCCAGGCAGGTAGCCAACGATTCAGCTGCACACCTATTTTGTAATTCACTGGCTAAACCGGGCAGGGGCAAGTTTTTTTTTTTCCAGAAGCGGCTCGCCATTGCCTCCTTCCTAGGGCTGAGAAGATACGGCTGGCTGACGGTCCCCCGGCCGACTTCCACGCCCAAGGCAAGACTAGAACTCTCAGCCCCCTGGCGATTGGCCCAGCGTCACCCAGAGGCTTTCATGCCCACGACAGGACTAGAACTCACCACCTCCCAGTTTTTAGCCCAGCACCTTCCCCTCTACACCAAACTGGCTCTCGGCCATTGTTATTCCTCCCAAGAACTTGAACACAGCACCAGGCTAAAACCAACTCCCCCCCCCCAATGACTCTTCAGAAGAAACGCAAGAACAAGGAACAACGCAGGCCGGCCGCCTCTGGTGTCATCCTCTGCTGTTTATTTTCAACAGTTCGGTTGTTTCCAAACAACAATCAAGAAGAAGAAGAAGAAAAACCCTAGAACAGTGTTTTCTCAACCTTGACCATTTTAAGGCATGTGGACTTCAACTCCCAGAATTCCACAGCCAGCGTTGCTGGCTGTGGAATTCTGGGAGTTGAAGTCCACATGCCTTAAAATGGCCAAGGTTGAGAAAACACTGTTCTAGAAGTAGCTAGATGGACCCATTCTATTGACATCAAGCGGTCTCTGCGGATGGAGGAGCAGCGCCACCACCATCCCTAACTCAGCCCTGGACTACGGTGCCCATCGCCCCCAAGGTTACAGCCGGACAGGCAGAGTCGGCCAGGTTGCAGAAGCAGTTGGGGCAGGGGGTAGAACCGGAATAAGAGAAGGCCCGTTTGCCTGGAGGAAGAGGAGGAGGAGGAGGAAGGGTGGCTGACTTCTTCTCTTTTATTCCCCCATTTTTGTGCTTTTCACTCATCACAAGTTTCAAAGTTAACTTTTTTAAACTGGGAGAGAGATCCCCCAAAAGTGCTTTTTTTTTTTTTTCTTTCCAAGAGGCAAGCGGGCTTTGTTTCTCCTTGAAGACGTTTCGCTTCTCATCCAAGAAGCTTAGTAATAATAATAATAAAGTTGGAAGGGACCTCGGAGGTCTTCTAGTCCAACCCCCTGCTCAGGCAGGAAACCCTGTGTGCCATTTCAGCCAAACGGCGGTCCGGCCTCGTCTTAAAAACAGTAAAGTGCGTTGCCCTGAGCTTTCAGCGGATACAAATCTGGATCAAGATTCTTTTAAAAATTTAAATTCTTTTAAAAAAAAAAAAAAACAACAACACTTTCCCTCCTGCCCCCCCCCCAAGCCACGTGGCTGCCCACCCCATAAGGATCTCTTTTTCTGATTTATAGGTAGAAATGCTACTGGAACCGTTTTCAGTTATAACAGCTCTACGCCGAGCGGCTTCCTGAACCGGCTGGAACTCTTCCTAGCTCTCAAAAAGGGGAATATTCCCCAAAATATTCCCCCAAAGGGGGAGCAGCCTTGCTAAGGGCGGCCAGCCACCGCAATGTGGAGGGCAAGAAAGAGGACTGGAAGTGGGTTTGCGAAGCAGGTACGATGGGTCTTACTTGGAAAGGGGTTGGATTTGCATGCAAATTAGAGATTTAGAATAGAAGAGAGCTGGTAGGGACCTTGGAGGTCTTCTAGTCCAGCCCCCTGCTCAAGCAGGAGAACCTACACCAGGGGGCTTCAAACCTGGCCCTTTTATGACTTGTGGACTTCAACTCCCAGAATTCCTCAGCCAGGCATGCTGGCTAAGGAATTCTGGGAGTTGAAGTCCACAAGTCACAAAAGGGTCCTAGTTCCCTCACGCTGGCTGAGGAATTCTGGGAGTTGAAGTCCACAAGTCACAAAAGGGTCCTAGTTCCCTCACGCTGGCTGAGGAATTCTGGGAGTTGAAGTCCACAAGTCATCAAAGGGCCAAGTTTGAAGCCCCCTGCCCTATACCATTCCAGACAAATAGGTAATGTAATCAGAATAGAGCTGGAAGGGACTTTGGAGGTCTTCTAGTCCAGCCCCTGCTCAAGCAGGAGACCCTATATCATTTCGGACAGGAGGCTATCCAGTCTCTTCTTAAAACTCTCCAGTGATGGAGCAATTCGCAACTTCTGGTGGCAAGCAGTTCCCCTGGTTAATTGTCCTCACTGTTAGGAAGTTTCTCCTTCATTCCAGGTTGCTTCTCTCTTTGGTCCCTTTCCAAAGAATTTTAAGGGACTCAGAATGAAGGTTTCTCTGCTGGGCTTTGCCACGTTGAATAACCTCACTGAACATCATGTTCCATTATGGCAGGATTGTCCAAACGTGTCCCTTTTAAGAGATGCGGACTTCAACACCCAGAATTCCAGCTGAGAGAGCGCAAGTCCACATGCCTGGCTGGGGAATTCTGGGAGTTGAAGTCCACATATCTTAAAGTGACCAAGGTGAAGACAATCTGCCTTCGGACTTCTGTGGCTGTTCACAGAAAAAGCTCATCCAGGGGTCTTCCAACTTGGCCCTTTGATGACTGGTGGACTTCGACTCCCAGAATTCTTCAGCCAGGCACACCGGCTGAGGAATTCTGGGAGTCGAAGTCCACCAGCCATCAAAGGGCCACGTTGGAAGACCCCTGCTTGTGGACTTCAACTCCCAGAATTCCTCAGCCGGGTACGCCGGCTGAGGAATTCTGGGAGTTGAAGTCCACAAGTCACCAAAGGGCCACGTTGGAAGACCCCTGGACTAGTCAAATGCAGGAATCCATGGCGTTTAACCGCACGGCACCTTTTGTCAGTTCAAAGGGGCAACTCTGAGATCATTGCAACTCCCGTGGCGAAAATTGGGAAATTTGTCAGCTGCATGCCAAGGCGACGGGGCCGGTGCTCTTGTGAGAAAGCCCACCGTCTCCTCCATTCTGACCAGCAGATGCCCACCCCATGGCTGCCCTCCGCAGTGACCGAGGGAAGAGGTGCAGGTGCTACTCTAGAGTATAAACTTCACAGCCAGCGCAAGGCTATCGAGAAGTGCGAAAAAGGGGGAGGCCGCCAGGCCAACCGGAGCAAAGAATTGGGGTAGGGAGGGGGGAACGCAGGAGCTGTCCTTCCTCTTTCCCCACTGCCCCACCTGACCCTTGACCCCGAGGGCCACTTTTTATTATTGCTTTTAAAAGAGATGGCTCATTCCTTGAAAATGGATGGGGGGGGGGCGGGTGAAAAAGGAGCAGGAAGGGAGGGAGGGAGGGAGGGAGGAGAAATAGATAAGAGGAAGGAAGGAAAAGGAGAATATTTGCAGCCCAGGGTTGAAATGAAGGGTCTTTGGTGCCCTCTGAGCTGGGTGGTTTTCTTGCAGACGTTTCGTAGCCAAACTAGATAACATCATCAGCGGTAGAAGGGAGAGGGGTTTGCAGGGTGGAGGAAAAAGAGGAGGGGGAAGACGGAGAGGAAAGGGAGGAGGAGGAGGAGGGGGAGGACAATGGGGTCCTGGTTAGTCTCTGAGCTGGGTGGTTTTCTTGCAGACGTTTCATGGCCCAACTAGATAACATCATACACTGATGAGGTTACCTAGTTTGGGTCATGAAACGTCTGCAAGAAAACCACCCAGCTCAGAGAGCATCAAGAACAGAAAACAGGGAAGGAAGGAAGGAAGGAAGGAAGGAAGGAAGGAAGGAAGGAAGGAAGGAAGGAAGGAAGGAAGGAAGGAGGGAGGGGAGGAAAGAAAGAAAGAGATAAAGAGAGGAAGAAAGAAAGAAAGAAAAAGAAAGAAAAAGAGTGGGAGGGAGAGAGGGAAGGAGGGAAGGAAGGGATGGAGGAAAGAGGGAGGGAGGGAAGGAAAGAGAAAGAAAGGATAAAGAAAGAAAGAAAGAAAAAAGATAAAGAGAGGAAGAAAGAAAGAAAAAGAAAGAAAGGGAGGGAGGGAGGAAGGAAGAAGGGAAGGAAGGAGAAAGAGAAGGAGCAAAGAGGGAGGAAGAAGGGAAGGAAGGAAGACTGAGGAGCTGAGAACCAGAGCTGGGGTCACCCCCATTTCGAGTCCTGACCCCTAGGAGCCTTTGGGGAGCATCCCAGGGGGAGGGGAGAACGGATTCTCTTCCCTCTCAACTAATCACTGCTGCAGGACCAGCTCTACAGCCGCGGTTTTTCCAAACCCGGCCACATCCCTCAAGTCCTGGACTCTGTGTTCCCGGCCACCACACCAGAAGTAAGTTGCCCTTTTCTTCTGGGATGGCTTTCCCCTTCCCTAATCTAGTCGCCGGGACTCCTGGTGGTCTCCCATCCCAACCCTTACCAGGCTGGACCCTGCTTCCACTTCTGCCATCGGCCGCAGCCAGCCAGCAAGCGGGGACCGACCCAGACGAGCGATCCAGGCAGGTCAGCCCACCTGCCCGGTTGCTTCTTGAGAAATCGAGGGTAGGGGACGGCGGGGGGGGGGTGTCAAAAAAGGCAAGATGGCGGCCGCCATCCTACGAGCTCAGGACCGCCCCTTCTTTCATACACATCCTAACACACGTGCTGGGTGTCAACGCTGCAAATATTGTATTTCTGTGACAAGATCGCAGCCAGCATCTTGACCTGGCAGGTGTCACAGTAGAACGAAAAGGATCTGCTGGACAGATTATTTTTTGGGGAGCCATTGAAGGAAGAACCGGGAAGAACCGAAAAGAGAAAGGCAAACTCGGAAGAATTAAACTGGAGTGTGTGTCTGTGTGTGTGTGTGCACATGTGTTTTTCTTCCACTGTGGGTGCTGTTTTCCCACGTGGCTCCTGATTTAGGCCAGCCTGGCCCTTCGGCAATGCCTCTCGGTGGATTCGGACGATAATGCTGGTGTTTAATCCCGGAAAACGTGGGACCATATTGCGATTGTGCTTCCGTGACCTGAAATTCCCGAACCTGGCCGCCTTTCAGACGTGCATTGGGCCTAAAACCTTCGGGTCCCTGTCTCCCCCCCCCCACAGCATGTCCAGAAAGGAAACACAGATTGGAGAAAACGGATCGCCACGTGCCACGGCCTCCAAGGCAAAAGCAATCCAGGGAGAAACGGGGTGCAGGGGACCCCCACAAGGGTTAAATCGAGGTTATCTTACACCAGTGGTTCTCAACCTTTCTAATGCCGCGACCCCATAATACAGTTCCCCATGTTGTGGTGACCCCCAACCACTTATACATCACCGGGTGCCAGGGGTGTGGCCAAAGAAAAGGGGGGAAAAATGGCGGACAGCCTTGTTTGGCGACCTCCGTGAAATGGTCGTTCGACCCCAAATGGGGTCCCGACCCACAGGTTGAGAACCACTGTCTTAAATCCAGACAAACTGAGGTACTCTTAGACCGAGATTGTGCTTATTTCTCTAGGTTGTCCCCCCCCACACACACACTTCCAACAACTGTCTGTCCCTCTGGAGAGAGCCAGTCTCCCCCCCCCATACACCATACGGAAAGGGGGTGCAGCAGCCCAGCTAGGCCCAAGGCAGCGGGCCTCCCCCGCCAAGCACGATTGCTCATGCCGTAGATTTGAACTCAAGACTCAAGCAGCTGCCACGGGGCAGGGCGAAGCCATCCGCGTCAACCTGCCTTGGAAGAATATGGATATTTGGTTCATGCGCAAAAGCAGCGGCGCCTCTTGGCCCACCCCCGCCCTGTAGAAGGCAGCAGCTGGTGGGAGGCGGGCGGGGTGGGATGGGGGGGAACGGGGGTCCTCGGAGGAGCAGGTGGGGCCGGGCGCGGCCAGCCCTACGCCCGGGACTCCTTCTTGGCGTTGGGTTTGTTCCCCAGGATCGCGTCCATTTCCTGGATGATTTGAGGGGTCAGCTGGGTTAGGACCTGTAGGGGGAGAAAGCGCGAAGAGGGGGAAAAATGTTGCTGAATAAGGGGGTTGGACTAGATGACCTCCAAGGTCCCTTCCAACATTATTATTATTATGGATCATCGCACAGTCAGCCAGATGTTCAGACTGGATTTGGCATTTTGTCTCCCTATCGAGTCCTTACCCAGGACCTGGGATAGGCAGATGTGGATGTTTAACAGTATTACAGGTATCGTCGCAGGATGGAAGCCGTTCCTAGCAAGGCCGCCATTTGCAATTGACTAATAGCGAATTTGTCAATGCCAATGATGGTGTTCAAGTGGTGCTCCAGTTGTTCTGGGATTGCACCCAAGGCACCTATTACTATTGATACTGCCCTTGTTTGCTTTTGCCACAGTTTGTCTATTTCTATTTGTAGGTCTTTGTATTTTGTTATCTTCTCCAGTTCTTTCTCGTCTATCCTGCTGTCTCCAGGCACTGCCACGTCCACTATCCAGACTTTTTTGTCTTTCTTATCGACAATTGTTAAGTCTGGGGTGTTATGTTGCAGGTGCTTGTCTGTTTTTTTTAATTTTATTTTATTATTATTATTATTATTACATCTGTGTTGTTACAGCTGCCTTCTCAGTTGACTTGAGGCAGGGTCTCTTAAAATATCACAAAATGGCTAGGCGGGCTGAGCGGGCTAAAAAGCACATCTTTTGGGGAAGGGCAGCTTCCCAGAACACCCTGGATTGCAGCCCCCTTAAAGTTGGTTTTCTCTAAGGGGTTGGGGGGCGTTTGGGGGGGCAATCCAGGGATGGCTGGAGGCTTGTGCTGTTCAGCCTATTTACCTGTTTTTGTTCAAATCACCTTGCGTGGTGGGAAAAACTTCAGGTGGATGTAGGATACAGGTCTGAGGAATTCTGGGAGTTCAAGTCTTCAAACTGGGACCTTTTAGGACTTGTGGACTTCAACTCCCAGAATTCCTCAGCCAGGCACACTGGCTGAGGAATTCTGGGAGTTGAAGTCCACAAGTCATAAAGGGGGTCATAATTCCCTCACACTGACTGAAGAATTCTGGGAGTTGAAGTCCACCAGTCACCAAAGGGCCACGTTGGAAGGCCCCTGATCTAGAACATGGAGAGCAAGGGGGGAACTTCCCCCACCAACAGCCCCCTACCTTTATGGAGTTAAACGCAGCCCCTCCTCCCCCACCGAATAATCGATCACCAGATCTCTGGCGTCCTCCTCCTTACCTGAATAGATCCCAGGTTCTCAATCAGCTGCTCGGTGCTGGAGACCCCCAAGAGCACAGAACTGACCCCTTCCGAGCGGAGACACCAGGCTTTGGGGAAAGAGGAATCCCCGAAATAGGTCAGAAGGGAACAAGTGGAGCATCTTCTCCCCACCTTTCTAAAATTGGTGTTTGTGTGTGGGTGTGAGTGTGATTGCTCCCTCTCATCTCCGGTGCATTCGGAGACACTGTTCTGCAGGCCCCTCCTTGCGGTGAACCTGCTCCAGGGGCTGCACTGATTTCTCAACCCAAGAGGGTCCCAGCTAAAAGCATCAGGCACCCCGAAAAATGTTTGTGACGGAACCACGTCTGTTCACGCCTTCATCTGTCTGATACGTTCTTCGGAATCGCCCTCCTTGCCTCTTTTCCAGTCCCCTCCCCCCGTCTCAACCAGAGCTGTGGCTTTTCCTGGTGGTCTCCCATTCAAATGCCCAAGTCTTGCTTAGCCGACTAACAGAATAACAAGAGTTGGAAGGGACCTTGGAGGTCCTGTAGTCCATCCCTACCTCCCACCGCCCCTTATATGTACCATTTCAGTTAAATGGTTATCCAGTCTCTTCTTAAAAACCTCCAGCGATGGAGCACCCACAACTTCTGGTGGCAAGTCGTTCCCCTGGTTAATTGTCTTCCTTGTCAGGAAATTTCTCCTTAGCTTTTCAAGAACAGCCAAAATCCTTAAGACACTTCTGGGAGTTTCTATTTTCTATTATTTTCTATTTTATTTTCCATTATTTTCTATGTTCTGTTCTATCCTAGTTCTATTTCTATTCTATTCTATTCTATTCTATTCTATTCTATTCTATTCTATTCCTTATTTCTATTCTAATTCCATATATTTTATTCTGTTCTATTCTGTTCTATTCTATTCTATTCTATTCCTTATTTCTATTCTAATTCCATCTATTCTATTCTATTCTATTCTATTCTATTCTATTCTATTCTATTCTATTCTATTCTATCCTATCCTATCCTATTCTAAGAAGGCCTTATCTGGATCTCCTAGCGGAGAGGGACGACTGCCTGTCTTGGGGCCTTGTTACAAAAAGGCATGCACACAGACACAGAGGCACACACACACACGTCCTCCAGCGTCCTCACCAATGGCCAGCTGCGCCACCGTGCAGCCCAGGCGTTTGGCGATGGGCTGGAGCGCTTTCACCTTGCTTTGCTGCTTCTTGCCGTCTTCGCTCTGCAGCTTCTCCTTCAGCCAGTGGTAGCCCTGAAAGAAGAAGAGGAGAAGGCCAGACCGTCACGGAGGGACCAGCAAGCCGTGAACCTCAGCCCAACCAGCTGGCTGAGGAATTCTGGGAGTTGAAGTCCACACGTCTTAAAAGTTGCCAAAAGTTGATAGACCCCTAATATAGACGGTGATAATTTATAAAAATTATTAAGCGCAAATGGAAACACATGCGTTGTTTCCACAGCAAGGAAGATAAAGCAGAAAGGGTTCAACGGTCTGATTCAAAGAGGAGAATACACTTAATTACTTTTTAAAATTTGGACGCCACTTCTGGATTTGGTGCTTAGCACAGTGACCTCTGTGCTAGCGTGTAAAAGTGAAAAGCGGAAGCCGTATTGTGCTTATCTTGTGCTGCGCTTCCAAAGAGTCGGAAAAAGTCAACGCTTTTCTCTTTTTTCCCCTTGTCCCTCGTATTTTCTCCCCCGCCTCTTTTTTACTTTCTCTAATTCCCTGTGTCTTATTTTCCTTTGTATTTTATTCTTAGATAAAACGAGATCCAGGAGACGCTGGGAACTCTCCACGCCAACAGAAGGAAGACAAATCTTCCATCCCAGAAATTCCTGGCAAGGGGTTCCTGGCCTTGGAAGCCCACCAAGCTGGGGAGGACTTGAAAAGCCCACCTGGAAGCGAGCTGTGTTACCTTTTGGCAGTCAAGAACGGTTGGGATCCTACCTTCATGGAAGCCCGGCAGTTTTCCGGCACTTGCTCCTCATATTTCCCCGTGATGAGTCCACAGGCCAGCGGAGACCAAGTTATGGCGCCTACTCCTGAAGACGGTAAATGGGGCAGTTGGGGGTCAGAAGCGACAACAGGCCTTCCTCCTCCCCTCACTGAATAATAATAATAAAGTTGGAAGGGACCTTGGAGGTCATCTAGTCCAACCCCCTGCTCAGGCAGGAATAGATATCTTCAGGAGAGGAGGTCAAGCTATTCTCCAAAGCGCCTGAAGGCAGGACAGGAAGCAACGGGTGGAAATTAATCAAGGAAAGAAGCAACCTGGAACTAAGGAGAAACTTCCTGACAGTTAGAACAATTAACCAGTGGAACCACCTGCCTCCAGAAGCTGTGAATGCTCCAACACTGGAAGTTTTTAAGAAGAGACTGGGCAGCCATTTGTCTGAAATGGTGTAGGGTTTCCTGCCTGAGCAGGGGGTTGGACTTGATGACCTCCAAGGTCCCTTCTGAATCTTATTCTTTTTTCCTTCCTTCCTTCCTTCCTTCCTTCCTTCCTTCCTTCCTTCCTTCCTTCCTTCCTTCCTCCCTCCCTCCCTCCCTCCCTCCCTCCCTTCTCCAACTGAAAGTTTTTAAGAAGAAACTGGACAGCCATTTGTCTGAAATGGTGTAGGGTCTCCTGCCTGAGCAGGGGATTGGACTAGATGACCTCCAAGGTCCCTTCTGAATATTATTCCTCCCTCCCTCCCTTCCTTCTTTTCCTCCCTCCCTTCCTCCCTTCTCCAACACTGGAAGTTTTAAAGAAGAGACTGGACAGCCCTTTGTCCGAAATGGAATCGGGTCTCCTGCCTGAGCAGGGGGTTGGACTAGATGACCTCCAAGATCCCTTCTCACTTTATTATTATTATTTATTATTATTATTATTCACCTGGCAGGCTTGGTCCTTCCCTCAAGCTTATTGTGACCCCAGAGCAAGGGACCCCCAACTCCTTCAAGCGTCAGCCAGTGGGGTGATTAGCCCATTCACCTTGGGCTAATAAGCCACCTTCACTTCCGCAACGGGCAATGCTTGGGAATCATGGTTTGTCTCCTAGGGAGGGGACCCTAATTGCAAAAAAAAAAAAACCTCCCCTAAAGACACCACCGAGGTCCTTTTTTGTGTTCGTCGGTGTTTTGCCAACTCTGACCATTTTAAGACCGGTGGACTTCAACTCCCAGAATTCCTCTGGCTGGAGAATTCTGGGAGTTGAAGTCCAGCCGTCTTAAAGTTGCCGAGATGATGAACCCATTAATATCGGTTCAAAGCAGGGTTAACATGAATAGATGGGGAGGAGGAAAGGAAGGACCTTACCATGCAGGAGGGGAAAATAAGAGGGGGGGAGACCCCCTCCTCCCCTCCCCCTCCCCAGCCCCCCCCCCGTTCCTCCTTACCGATCTTGTGATACAATTCCGGAAGCTGCGTCTCCACCTTTTCCCTCTGGAACATGTGATACTCCGCTTGTTCGCACACGGGAGGGATGAGGTTGAACTGGCGGGCTACCGAGTAGGCTTCCTACGTCGCGGAGAAGAAAGAGAGGAAAGGAAGAAGAGATTGGGATGGGGGGAAAAAAGAGAGAAGAACCCATCTTTACCGCCACCCCCCAAAAAAGATTTTACCATAATCTCCATGGCGCTCCATCGAGAAGTGCCCCAGTACATGGCCATGCCTTGGTTGATGACGTACGTCATGGCTCGGACGATCTCTGGCGGGAAGAACGGAAATATAAAAGAGATCAGCACTAAAGTTCCTTTTTCCTTCGTTTCTTCCTCACGTCTCAAAGACGGGGAGTTTTCCGTACTCAGAAAACCAGGTTAACGGGGGGGGGGGGGGAAAGGGAACGAAGGCCAGTGACTTGATGCAGAAGTTCATCTGAACAGAATATCGGAGATGGAAGGGACCTTGGGAGGTCTTCCAGTCCAGCCCCCTGCTCAGGCAGGAAAACCTACACCATCTCAGACAAGTGACTGTCTAGTCCAGTGGTTCTCCACCTGTGGGTCGGGACCCCATTTGGGGTCGAACGACCATTTCACGGGGGTCGCCAAACAACGCCGTCCGCCATTTTTCCCCCCTTTTCCTTAGCTGCGCTCCTCCCTTTTATTCTATTGGCTTTTGAAAGCCAATAGAACAGACTCTCTTGAATAGAGTCTAATTCTATTGGCTTTCAAAAGCCAATAGGAATTGTCCAGGCTGTCTCTGCTCTGCTGAGCCCGCCAAAAGTCCCATTCTGCAAACGGGGCTGCACCAGTTGAGTGGTCCTCGACTTCCGACCGGTTGAGTAGTCCTCGACTTCCGACCGGTTGGGGGTCGCGGCATTAAAAAGGTTGAGAACCACTGGTCTAGTCTCTTCTTAAAATCCTCCAGTGATGGAACGCCCACGATTTCTGGTGGCCAGCTGTTCCACTGGTTAATTGTCCTCACTGTCAGGAAGTTTCTCTTTAATTCCAGGTTGCTTCTCTCTTTGGTCAGTTTCCAACCATTGTTTCTCGTCCTTCCCTCTGGTGCTTTGGAGAACAACGTGACCCCCCTTCTCTTTGTGGCAGCCCCCCAAATACTGGAACGCTGCTATCATGTCTCCCCCGTTTCTTCTTTTCTCTAGACTAGCCAGACCCAAGTCTTGCAGCCGTTCTTCATATGTTTTGGTCTCCAGGCCTTGGATCCTCTTAGTTGTTCTTCTCTGACCTTTTTCCAAACTCTCAACATCTTTTTTTGTGAGACGGTGACCAAAATTGGTTGCAGTAGCCCAAGTGTGGCCTCACCAGGGTTTTATAAAGCGGTGCTAATACTTCGCGTGATCACAATTGTCCAGCTAAGGTAGTGCTTCTCACCCTGTGGGTCGGGACCCCATTTGGGGTCGAACGACCATTTCACGGGGGGTCGCCAAACAACGCAGTCCGCCATTTTTTTCCCCCCTTTTCCTTAGCTGTGCTACTCCCTTTTATTCTATTGGCTTTGGAAAGCCAATAGAAGAGACTCTCTTGAATAGAGTCTAATTCTATTGGCTTTCAAAAGCCAATAGGAATTGTCCAGGCTGTCTCTGCCCTGCTGAGCCCGCCAAAAGTCCCAGTCTGCAAACGGTGCTGCACCAGTAGAACAGTCCTCGACTTATGACCGGTTGAGTAGTCCTCGACTTACGACCGGTTGGGGGTCGCAGCATTAAAAAGGTTGAGAACCACTGGTCTAAGGTCTCCCTCTTTATGTTTTGTGATCACCTTCGTGCTGATCAATTTGAATAGGAAATTCAAATCCTTTCTGGGCTTTAGAAGATCTCCGCAGACAGTATATTTATGCACAAACAGGGCTCGTTTTGGTGAACGAATGAACTCAAACATTGTGATTGAGTCAACAAGCCACAACTAGGACACAAAAGAAATGCCCGAGTGAGCCCAAGGCGTGAAACCAATTCTTCGTCGCCACCTTATATTTTCAATTTAGCATCACCTAATGCAAAATGGGCTAGAGGTGTTTGGTTTTTTTAAAAATCACTGTTCATAAAGAAAGTAAATCACCGCCTCTTTTTAAGTCATTTTTTCCTTAAGGAAAATCAAGAGTGTGTGAAATATAGTTCAAAGAAATCTTCCCAAAGAACATTGACTGTACTCTCTTTTCCCCAAAATGCAAAAAGTGGGTGAATTCACTATAAAAACAAAACAAAACCCAGGCACCCAAAGATTTGCATTTAGGCACGCTCAGCAAAAGACCCCTAAGATTGCCAACTCTTTCAGTGAGCTCTGCTCCTCGTCTTTCCTCGCAGTTTGATTTTCAGCCCTAAAACTCAAGTGTGTATTTTATTTATTTTTCCTACCTATTCAGTCCCTATTTCACAACAAGGCACTCTCCAGATCAGTGGTTCTCAACCTGTGGGTCGGGACCCCATTTGGGGTTGAACGACCATTTCACGGGGGTCGCCAAACAACGCAGTCCGCCATTTTTTTCCCCCTTTTCCTTAGCTGTGCTCCTCCCTTTTATTCCATTGGCTTTTGAAAGCCAATAGAAGAGACTCTCTTGAATAGAGTCTAATTCTACTGGCTTTCCAAAGCCAATAGGAATTGTCCAGGCTGTCTCTACCCTGCTGAGCCCACCAAAAGTCCCATTCTGCAAATGGGGCTGCACCAGTTGAGCAGTCCTCGACTTACGACCGGTTGAGTAGTCCTCAACTTACAACCAGTTCGGGGTTGCGGCATTAAAAAGGTTGAGAACCACTGCTCCAGACAGAAGGAAGTTTTGCTGATCAGGATTTCTGGATATTTAAATAGCGGCCGACACGATGAAAAGCAGCTAGACGGGAGACTGTGGCCTAGTTGACAGTACAACCCACACACAACTTCAGACGGGGCGGGGGAGGCACAAAACTTGCACTACACTACACACATCTGCTGCCTACACAGAAGCACAGCGGGAGTAAACCTAGATGAGTAAGATGGAAGCAAGCTCCACTGAAACCAACAGAGTTTACTTGTTGGGAAGACATGCAGCAGATTTAAAAAAAGTATTTCTCAGACTTGGAAAAGTTCAAAGCAGGTGGACTCCAACTCCCGGAATTCCCCAGCCAGCCATGAATCGGTGGCTGGGGAATTCTGGGAGTTGGAGTCCACCCGCCTTGAACTTTTCCAAGTCTGAGAACCGCTGAGTTAGGGGATTAAAGACGACTGGCTACAACTAGGAGGCGATGATGGACGGCAGGAAGAAGTCCTGGGTTCAAGACGAGAGGAAAAAGTGGCAAATCCTTCTCAAGCCTTCCTGCGCGGGTCTTTACATAGTCTTTCTGCGATATAATAATAATAATAGTAATAATAATAATATCTGCCTATCCCGGGTCCTGGGTAAGGACTCGATAGGTAGACAAAATGCCAAATCCAGTCTGAACATCTGGCTGACTGTGCGATGATCCATAATAATAATAATAATGATAATAATAGTTGGAAGGGACCTTGGAGGTCATCTAGTCCAACCCCCTGCTCAGGCAGGAAACCCTACACCATTTCAGACTAGTAATAGTAGTAGTAGTAATAGTAATAGTAGTAGTAGTAATAGTAATAGTAATAGTAGTAGTAGTAATAATAATAATAATAATAATAATAATAATAATAATAATAAAGTTGGAAGGGACTTTGGAAGTTATCTAGTCCAACCCCCTGCTCAGGTAGGAAACCCTACACCATTTCAGACTAGTAATAGTAATAATAATAATAATAATAATAATAATAATAATAATAATAATAAAGTTGGAAGGGACCTTGGAAGTTATCTAGTCCAACCCCCTGCTCAGGTAGGAAACCCTACACCATTTCAGACTAGTAATAGTAATAATAATAATAATAATAATAATAATAATAATAATAATAATAATAATAATAAAGTTGGAAGGGACCTTGGAGGTCATCTAGTCCAACCCCCTCCTCAGGCAGGAAACCCTATATCATTTTTTTTCTTCCCCGTTGCATTTTTTTCCCCACCTCGTTTTTTAACCTCTGGCGATTTATTTTATTTCATTTTATTTTATTTTACCCTAACACCTGTGCATCTCTCTTTTGTCTTTTGTTCCCTCACTGGCTGGGGAATTCTGGGAGTTGAAGTCCAAAGGGACAGGGGTTGAGAAAAGACACTCACGTTGTAGGTGTGTGTGCGTGTGGTTTTTTTTTTTTTAAAGGCTTGAGAGGTTTGGGGTGCAAGGGAGAAGAGGGGCAGCAGGAGTTTTGGGGAGGGGATCAATCTTTAGTACCTTCCAGCAGGAAAACCCGGAAGTTTAGGTCACTCTCTGCAGGAAGGAGAAAACCAGTGAGATGGGCTGGAGTTTGCCAAGAGAAGACTGGACACCTTTTTGTGTGTGTGTGTGTGTGTGAGAGAGAGAGAGAGATCCAGGCCCCTGGGACCACTCTGCCCCCCCCCCAGCACACCTACATGGGAAAAAATGGGTGGATGGGTGTGAACAGAGGGACGTCTCCGCAAGAGCAGAGGCCGACTGCGGTTCTTAAGAGAGTCGTGCCTGTTTTCCTGAGCATTTCTGCTTTGGTCGTTAAGCAAGTCACGGCAAGGGGTGAAGGGACTCTTGCGGTCGTTAAGCAAATCTGGGGGAACCATCGAATTTGCCGGTGGGAAGCCGGCTACGTAGGTCATAAAGGGTGATTAAGCGTTATCGACCTGCTGGCTTCCAAGCACCCGGATTTGGATGACATGGCCACGGGGATGGTCGTAAATGCGAGGAATGGTCGTTAAGTCACAGATCTAGCCCGTTTTCCTCTTCTTCATCTTCCCCTTCTTCTCCTTCTCCTCCTCCTCTTCTTCTTCCTCCCTTTCTTTTCCTCCTTCTCTTTCTCCTTCTCTTCCTCCTCCTCCTCCTCCTCCTTTGTCTCCTTCTCCTTCTTCTCCTCCTTCCTCTCCTTCTCCTCCTCCTCTTCCTCCTCCTCCTCCCTTCTTCTCTTTCTTCTCTTCCTCCTCCTCCTCCTCCTCCTTCCTCCTCCTCCTCCTCCTCCTCCATTTGCAAATTATATTCTTTGCCTTCCTATTTCTTATTTCTTTCCTGGCTGTTTTTCTTTTGAAAGAAAAGGGCGTAGCGGAGACAGATGAGGGGGGATCTGCAAGACCTGGTCCAAAAAGTCAAGATGGCTGCCTTGGAAGTGCAACCACAGCTTTGATTGGACCGCCGTGGCCGCCATCTTGATTTTTATTTTATTTTTTTAACTATACCCTGCAAAATATTTTTTTTTTAAGCCATGCCTCTGCGGAAGATCTGAAGTGGGCTGTATTGGCGGAGGAAGGACAGTGTGCTTTGTGTGTTTGTGTGGTGTTGTTTTCCTGGAGAGACAATTATGAAACCTTTTTTTTTAAAAAAAAAAAAATGCGGTGGCGTTGTCCTGGGAAGTGGTAGGAAGGCGTTCTGTTCAGGATGGACACAGGAGGCAGCCCTCACTCAAAAAGGGGTGGGGAATTTGGGGGGGGGGTCCCTTAATCCAGACCCCTAAAGTTTGAGGTGGGAGGGCGAGAAGACCCGGAAGAGAAGAAGCCACCCACCTTCCATGGGGCTGTTAGCATCCATCCGGTTAGCGAAGAGGATGTCGACGTATCCCAGCTGAAGCCTCTGCAGGGACCCTTTTAGCCCTGGAAAATTGAACGGGGTGGGGTGGGTGGGTGGGGAGAGAAGAAATGTTGGAATTGGAAGCCCCAAATTTGGAGCGCAGCCTCTAGGCTGGGGATGATGGGAGCTGGGAGACACCATCCGTCCTTCCGTCTAGCCATTCACCTGCCCATCTACCCGCCCCACCCATCCTTCTCTTCCTTAATCCATCCTTCCATTCATCCTTCTTTCACTCTGTCTCTCCATCCTTTCATCTGTTTGTCCCTCCGTTCACCTTTCCACTCTTCCGTATTTAAATCCATTCGTCCATCCATCCATCCATCCACTCACCCTCCTTCCCTCCCTCCCTTCTATTTATTTTCCCGTTCCTTCGTTCCTTTCCTTCCTTCCTTCTTTCCTCTCCCTTCTATTTATCTTTCCTTTCCTTCCTTCCTTCCCTCCCTTCTTCCTTCCTTCCTCTCCTTTCTATTTCTCTTTTCCTTCCTTCCTTCCTTCCCTCCCTCCTTCCCTTCTTTCTTCCTTCCTCTCCTTTCTATTTCTCTTTTCCTTCCTTCCTTCCCTCCCTCCCTCCTTCCCTTCTTCCTTCCTTTCTCTCCCTTCTATTTCTCTTTACCTTCCTTCCTTCCTTCCTTCCTTCCTTCCTTCCTTCCTTCCTTCCTTCCTTCCTTCCTTCCTTCCTTCCCTCCCTTCTTCCTTCCTCTCTTCCTTCTATTCCTTCCTTCCTTCCTTCCTTCCTTCCTTCCTTCCTCCCTACTCTGCTACTTAAGGCTTATCCTCCTTTCCATTCATTGCCCCCCCTCCCCTCTCGACTCAGCTCCCATGGGGGTCAGCCCCCCAGCCCCCCTTGCCCCCCCTCACCCTCAATGATGTGCTTCCGGGATAAGCCTCTTTCGGTCTCAGCCCTTTGAGGAAAGGAAGGAAGGAAGGAAGGAAGGAAGGAAGGAAGGAAGGAAGGAAGGAAGGAAGGAAGGAAGGAAGGAAGGAAGGAAGGAAAGAAGAAAGAAAGAGAAAGATCACATCCAGGGGCCTAGCGGCCAGCCCTGCACCCCCAACCCCCAAGGGGCACTTAGATCTTTTGAGGGTGCCCCAAGAAAAATACTGTGGGGGGGTTCTCATAATGTCATAATAAAAGCCACGGCATCCCCCCCTCCCCGCTGCCACCGTCGCCCCGCTGGGGAGGATGGTGCTTGTAGTCCACGGCCATCGGAAGCCGCCCGTTCCCTTGGGAAAGACTGCACTGCGGAAAGAAAATCCGATTTTCCTGCCGACGAGCCGGTCTCGGAGGAGGCAGAGTGGGGGGGGGCCTTCTCCCTGCTCCCCACTGCAGAGCCGAGCCCCCCATTTCTTCCCCTGCCCCCCCCTTGAAAGCACTTACTGGCCTCCCCAGTAAATCTTGGTGGTGACCACGTAGCTGGAACGCCTGCGAAAGAAGTCATAAGAGGCAAAATGAGCCGGCGGAGAGGCCCACGAGACGTCCGAGCCCTCGATCCAGCCAGGCGGTCCTCGGCTTACAACGGTTCCAGTTAGTGGCCGTTCACGGTTACAACCTCGCCGGGGGGGGGGGGAAATAAGGGACTCCGGACTCCGGACCGATGTTCACACTTGACGACCGTTTTTTCAGCACCCCCAGGGTCACGAGGAAAGGAAGGAAAGAAAAGATAAATAGAAGGGAAAGGAAGGAAGGAAAGGGAGGAAGAAAGAAGGGAGGGAAGGAAGGAAAGAAAAGATAAATAGAAGGGAGAGGAAGGAAAAGGAGGGAGGAAGAAGGGAGGGAAGGAAGGAAAGAAAAGATAAATAGAAGGAAAAGGAAAGAAGGAAAAGGAGGAAGGAAGAAGGGAGGGAAGGAAGGAAAGAAAAGATAAATAGAAGGGAGAGGCTTGGCAACTGACATGTACCTGTGACGGTTGCAAGTGTTCCCGCGGATCACGCGATTCCCCTTCGGCGACCTTCTGACCAGCAAAGTCAAGGATTCGCTGAACGACCGCGTGGCTAACTGAAGAGCCGCAGCGATTCACTTAACAACGGGGGCAGGAGAGGCCGTAAAGCGGAGCTAAACCTCGCTTAACAAGTGTCTCGCTTACCAACCTAAAGGCTGGGCTCAATTGCGAGGACTACCGGCGTGCAATTTTGCAACAGAGGTGCAAACTTTTGTGGAAGCTTTTAGGAAAAAGCAAGGGGGCGTTTCCCCTTGGGGACCCCACCCTCAATTAGCCAAGGGTCCAGATGCTGCGACTCCGCCCCCAGCGATGACCTCACAGCCCCTCCCACTCCCCCCTTCCAGGAAACGAATAAAGTTTTAGAAATTGCCAATCTGGGGATTTGGGCCTTACCTCCACGCTTTCCTTTTCAAGATATTCCCCAAGGTTTTTTCCGCTCTGAAAAAAAAAAGAACGGAAGAGAAAGAAGGGAGAAGGAAGGAGACAGAAAAGAGGAAAGAAAGAGGGGGAAGAAAATAGAACATTATTCTTCCTCGTTCAGCAGCTGTGTAGAAAAATTGGGTGCTTCTTCCAGTTAGGTGGTGGTGGGGGGGGAAAAAACCCTAATACAGAATCTCTCTCTTCCTTTCCCCAATAATTGCGCCCTCCGGTAATGTTTTCCTGCCTGAGCAGGGGGTTGGACTAGAAGACCTCCAAGGTCCCTCCCAAGTTTGTGATTCTGTTAGTCAAGAGGAACTGGAAGCTTTAGTATTATTATTTTTTTTAACACTGATTTTATTCCAGGGCAGAAGCCTTGGTGAAAAGCTGCTGCCGCGATCCTGATGATTTTGTTTGTTTGTTTGTACGTGTGTTTTGGCCCTGCAAATGGACACAACTCTCCCCTTACGACATGCCACTGGGCAGCAAAGGAGCTGGAATTGGTTGACCAAGGCCCCTTTGCGCATTGGTGTGCGTGAGTGCACAAGAGCATGTGTGCATGCCCTGTGAGCTAGGGATTGTGCAATGGTCCTGTCTGCCTGGTTGTCCTTGCGGTGATTGTTTGCTTTCTCTGTCTCTCTCTCTCTTTCTTTCTTTCTGTCTGTCTGTCTCTTTCTGTCTGTCTCCCTCTCTTTCTCTCTCTTTCTCTCTCTCTCTTTCTGTCTGTCTTCCTCTTTCTTTCTTTTTCTGTCTGTCTCCCTCTCTCTCTCTCTCTCTTTCTGTCTTCCTCTTTCTTTCTCTTTCTCTCTTTCTCTCTCTTTCTGTCTCCCTCTCTCTCTGTCTCTCTCTTTCTCTCTCTCTTTGTCTGTCTCTCTCTCTTTCTCTTTCTGTCTGTCTCCCTCTCTTTCTCTCTCTCTCTTTTTCTCTCTGTCTGTCTGTCTCTCTCTTTCTCTCTCTCTCTTTCTCTTTCTCTCTCTTTCTGTCTGTCTTCTTTCTTTTTCTGTCTGTCTCTCTCTCTCTCTCTCTTTCTGTCTGTCTTCCTCTTTCTTTCTTTCTCTCTGTCTCTCTCTTTCTGTCTCCCTCTCTCTCTGTCTCTCTCTTTCTCTCTCTCTTTGTCTCTCTCTCTCTCTCTTTCTCTTTCTGTCTGTCTCCTTCTCTTTCTCTCTCTCTCTCTTTTTCTCTCTGTCTGTCTGTCTCTCTCTTTCTCTCTCTCTCTTTCTCTCTCTCTCTTTCTCTTTCTCTCTCTGTACAGAGAGAGAGAGAGAGAGAGAGAGACTTCGTTTGGACCGGTCCCCAAATCCAGACTGACAGAATCGTGTCATGGATTGTGAAATTGGCCCCTATTCAGATGGAAACGCTCCGAGCCAACGCTTGGCTTACAAAGTGACACGCTAAGGAAAAAAAAAAACCAGGACAATCTCTGGAAAGAAGGATGGTTGCAGCAGTGCCAAAGCATCTGGCCTAGAACAGAGCCCTTAAGGAGAAGAGGGCTTCTGAACATGGCAAAAGCACTTTTTTTTTTCTCCGTGCGCAGTATACAAGAGGGTTCCTGAGCATGGAAAAAGCACCCCTTTTCCCCCTGCAAAGTGCTCAAGAGCATGGAAAAAGGACTTTCTCCCCCTCTGTGCATAAGTACACAAGAAGGCTTCTGAGCATGGAAAAAGCACTTTTTTCCCTCCATGCACAGTACCTGCGGAACTGGACAGGCTGTGAAATGGTGGGGGGGGAGTATTCTATCAAATACTCCCCCCCACCATTTCACAGCGTAACCTCGAGAATAGCTACAGGCAGTTGAAAGGTTTTTTATGTTTTTATTTTGATTATTAAATTTATATGCTTGGGGGGGGGGAGTTGGGAAGGGAGGGACAGAAGGACAAGTCAGATTAGCTTAGGGTTGGGTGGTGCCCAGAACGCCTTGTGGGGCTGTGGCACCTCAACTGTCAGAAATTTCCTAACAGTGAGAACAATTAACCAGTGGAACTACCTGCCACCAGAAGCTGTGAATGCTCCAACGCTGGAAGTTTTTAAGAAGAGACTGGACAGCCATTTGTCCGAAATGGTATAGGGTTTCCTGCCTGAGCAGGGGGTTGGATTAGATGACCTCCAAGGTCCCTTCCAAATCTGTTATTCTGTTATTCTTTTTTTCCTTCCTTCCTTCCTTCCTTCCTTCCTTCCTTCCTTCCTTCCTTCCTTCCTTCCTTCCTTTCCTCCCTCCCTCCCTCCCTCCTTCTCCAACACTGGAAGTTTTTAAGGAGAGACTGGACAGCCATTTGTCCGAAATGGTCTAGGGTTTCCTGCCTGAGCAGGGGGTTGGACTAGATGACCACCAAGGTCCCTTCCAAAACTGTTATTCTCTTCCTCCTCCTCTTCCTCCTCCAGAAGACATTGGTATAGGGTTTCCTGCCTGAGCAGGGGGCTGGACTAGATGACCTCCAAGGTCCCTTCCATCTGTTATTCTTTCTGCCTGCCTTCCTTCCTTCCTTCCTTCCTTCCTTCCTTCCTTCCTTCCTTCCTTCCTTCCTTCCTTCCTTCCTTCCCTTCTCCAACACTGGAAGTTTTTATAAAGAGACTGGACAGCCATTTGTCAGGTTTCCTGCCTGAGCAGGGGGCTGGACTAGATGACCTCCAAGGTCCCTTCCATCTGTTATTCTTTCTGCCTTCCTTCCTTCCTTCCTTCCCTCCTTCCTTCCTTCCTTCCTTCCTTCCTTCCTTCCTTCCTTCCTTCCTTTTTTCTCTTTCTTTCTTTCTTTCTTTCTTTCTTTCTTTCTTTCTTTCTTTCTTTCTTTCTTTTTTTCTTTTCTTCTTATTTTCATCTCCTTCCTTCCTTCCCTTCTCCAACACTGGAAGTTTTTAAGAAGGGACTGGACAGCCATTTGTTTGAAATGGTATAGAGTCTCCTCCCTGAGCAGGGGGTTGGACTAGATGACCTCCAAGGTCCCTTCCAACATTATTATTATTATTATTATTATTATTATTATTATTATTATTATTATCATCATCATCATCATCATCATCATCATCATCATCATCATCATTATCATCAACTAAAGTAAAGGGAGCTGAGCAACGGCAGAGCAGCGGCTAGACAATTCAGATCCTTTTGCAACGGAGAAATATTCCTTTTCTCCCTCTGGATCAGGAGAGAACATACAACACAGGCGCCCAGTGCCGGAAGGGACCTCAGAGGTCCTCTAGTCCAACCCCCTGCTCAAGGCAGGAGGCCCTCTTCCACACCGGACAAAACTTGCTGGACGAGAAGCCAACTAATTGCCTGTTGAATTTCTTCCTGGCCCAGGCGATGCAGATCCGGCTCTGGATCCTGCCCCCCCTTTTCTGCCTGCCCCCCACCACTTCCAGGGTGCAACAGCCCAACTCACTTGCCAGAGGCGTAGACTTCGGCCGTGTCAAAGAGGTTGACCCCGTTTTCGTAAGCGATGGTGAGCACGCTCTCGGCCACCTAGAAGCAGAGAGAGAAAAGAGGGGTGTGTGTGGGGGGGTGTTTTCGAGAAAAGAGGAGGGGTCTTTTTTTAAAAATTTGAGAGGCTGTCCCTGTCCCACTCCATCCCACCCCAGCCAAAACTTCCCTTGAGCAGAGATAGAAAAATGTGCCCCCAACCACTTAAGCGGTGCCTGTTAACTGTTCGGAAGGGCAGGGGGAAAGACTTAGGAACCTCTGCCACTATTTTGGCTTTTAGGGACACACAGTTTTGTGTGTGTGTGTGTGTGTGTGTGTGTGTGTGCGCGCGCGCGTGCGCACGCGCTAGGGAGGGGGTGTCTTTTTTCAACGATGAGACTTGGAGAGGAAGTTGAGGTCAATCTAAACCAGGGGTCTTCCAACTTGGGCCTTTGATGACTTGTGGACTTCAACTCCCAGAATTCCATGTGCCTGGCTGAGGAATTCTGGGAGTTGAGGTCCGCAAGTCATCAAAGGGTCATAGTTCCCTCACGCCGACTGAGGAATTCTGGGAGTTGAAGTCCATAAGTCATCCAAGGCCGAATTTGAAGACCCCTGCTTGTGGACTTCAACTCCCAGAATTCCTCAGACAGGCATGCTGGCTGAGGAATTCTGGGAGTAGAAGTCCGCAAGTCATAAAAGGGTCCTAGTTCCCTCACGCTGGCTGAGGAATTCTGGGAGTTGAAGTCCACAAGTCATCAAAGGGCCAAATTGGAAGATCCCTGCTTGTGGACTTCAGCTCCCAGAATTCCTCAGGCAGCGTGAGGGAACTAGGACCCTTTGAGGACTCGTGGACTTCAAGTTGAAGTCCACAAGTCATCACAGGGCCAAGTTTGGAGACCCCCTGCGGTACAGTCATGAAATGGGCAAAGTTTGAGACTTACCTCATCTGAGATCTGGGACCCAAATGTCACCCAGGTACCTACAAGGGAAAACAGACTTTTGAAATGGGTATCAAGTGGTCCTGCCTGGGCCTACGGATCTGCCATGCTGCTCTTAGGCTGCCTAGAACCAAAGACAACAGAATAACAAGGGAAAGGGACCCGAGAGGTCTTCTAGTCCAACCTCTGTTCAAGCAGGAGACCCTATCCCATTCTGAGCAAATAACTATCCAGTCTATTCTGCATTCCATTCTGCATTCTATTCTATTTTTTCTATTCTATTTTCTATTCTGTTATTTTTATTTTATTCTATTATTTTCTATTCTATTTTATTTTCTATTCTATTTTATTTTCTATTCTATTATTTCTATTCTTTTCTATTCTATTTTTTCTATTCTATTCTATTCTATTGTATATTCTATTCTTATTTCTATTCTGTTCTGTTCTATTCTATTTTATTATGTATTTTATTCTATTGAATAGAATAAAATACATAATAGAACAGAATAGAATGTATTCTATTCTCTTCTATTTTATTTTCTATTCTATTATAATTTCTATTCTATTCTAATTTCTATTCTATTCTGTTCTATTCTCATCTAATTTCTATTCTATTCTATTCTATCCTGTATTTTATTATTCTATTCTATATTTTATTATTCTACCCTAATCTATTCTATTCTCTCTTCTATTTTATTTTCTATTCTAATCTAATTTCTATTTTATTCTAATTTCTATTCTGTTCTATTCTATTCTGTATTTTATTATTCTATTCTATTCTATATTTTATTACTCTACTCTACTCTACTCTGCTCTGCTCTGCTCTGCTCTGCTCTACTCTATTCTATTCCTTGAAAATCTCCAGTGTTGGAACACCCACAACCTCTGGTGGGAAGCCGTTTCACTGGTTAATTGTTCATTAAAAGAGTTTAAAAGTGACCCTTTCGGAAGCAGGATTCCCTAGAGAGATTGCTTTATTATTATTATTGATCGATTGATTATTCTCATCGCGTTCCTTTTTCATTGCTGACTTTATTGTTCCAGTTTGCTTCCGTTCTGTTTACCCTCCTTCCGTTTTCTTCCTTTTTATAGTAAGCCGCCTAGAATTGGCGAGATGGGCGGCAAGTAAATTTAACAAATAAATAAATAAACTTATTCAGAAGGAAAGGAGGAGAGTTCCAGAAAACAAGCTACAGGTAGCCCTTGACGTACGATCATTAATTTAGCGACTGTCCGAAAGTTACCTTTAGTTCCTATCTTAGGTACATTTGGATGGAAAATTCTTGATTCTCTTTCTAACTGTCCTCCTCTGAACTGGGAAATCAGCCTTTCATTGATAATGGGGAAGATTTCAGCTTTTATTTATATCCGGGGTCTCCAACCTTGGCCACGTTAAGACCTGTGGACTTCAATTCCCAGAATTCCCCAGCCAGCCATACCTGTTTTTTTTTCTCTCCTATCCCTTAAAGCAGGGAGATTGGAGAAGAAGGGATTATAAGAGAGTAAGTGGACTTCAACTCCCAGAATTCCCCAGCCAGCCATGCCTGTTTTTTTCCTCTCCTATCCCTTAAAGCAGGGAGATTGGAGAAGAAGGGATTATAAGAGAGTAAGTGGACTTCAACTCCCAGAATTCCCCAGCCAGCCATGCCTGTTTTTTCTCTCCTATCCCTTAAAGCAGGGAGATTGGAGAGGAAGGGATTATAAGAGAGTAAGTGGACTTCAACTCCCAGAATTCCCCAGCCAGCCATGCCTGTTTTTTTTCTCTCCTATCCCTTAAAGTGGGGAGATTGGAGAGGAAGGGATTATAAGAGAGTAAGTGGGGCCAAAATAAGTATGCTGGCTGGGGAATTCTGGGAGTTGGAAGTCCACAAGTCTTAAAAGTGGTCAAGATTGGAGACTCTTGATTTACCTTCTAGTCTCCTGAACACTGAATTCTGGGAACAGACCTTTTTACACATGTCTGTGGTGGACCAGGAAACCGGTTGGTGACGGACGAAGCCACAAGCACACCCCAAATTGAGGCAGCCTCCCACCCTTCAGACGTATCCTGCGCCACCGAAGCCCACCCAGCTCATCTTTTCTCAACCCCTGGAACTCACCGAGCCCGAGACAAGAGACTCGCAGACCCGACTTCCCAAGATTCCTGCAATGGGAAGAAACGGGAAGGTGAAACAAGCTGGCAATGGTGGTCTGTCAAGGTCTGCGGAAGTAGCCTTGGGAGACAGGAGGAAGAGCTGCGGACAAAGCAACAGGTGGATAAGAGGCAGCCGAGCCCCCAGGAGGAAAGTGGACATGGCAAAGCAGGGACCCTCCCTAGTTTCTTCAGCTGTAAAAGTGACAGGGGGAAAAAACATACTTTCAGACGTGCAAGACTGATGTCGGGAAGGGTGCCCAGGTAAGCAAATTCTACTTTATTGTGTAAGGCAGGGTTTTTCATCCAGTGGTACGGGTACCACCTGTGGTACAATGGCACCTGGCAAGTAGTACGTGACCATCCTAGAAAAATGGTAGCGTGGGAGGGGAATGAGCTGAACCGGTGGCAGCACCGCACAAGCCTGAGCGAGAAACGGCTGGAGCTGCAGGGCTGTCAGGGCTCAACGGAAGCGCCAGGATCAGCGCTAGGCTCCAGCTGGAGCTCAGTGCTGATCCTGGTGCTTCTGCTGAGCCCAGAAGAAGTACCAATCAGTTGGAAAGCAGCACTGATCCTGGCGCTTCTGCCCAGCCCAGAAGAAGCGCCGATCAGCTGGAATGTTGCAGCCTCTCCAGGGTCTTGTGATTTACATTCAGATGCTTGGCAACCGATTCGTATTTATGACGGTCACAGTGTCCCAGGGTCATGTGAAGTGACCAAAACCTGCTGCAACCACCCAGCAGACGGGGGGGAATAAAAACCAAACACCCCCCCACCCCACCCCCGCTGCCAATCCCCAACAGAAATGCTCCCAACAATGGCAACCTCGGACAGGAGGAAGAGCACTGCCGCCGGGTGGGCAGGTAGGTGTCTTGCTCAGCTGTGGTTTGGGGGGCACTTTTTTTCAATACCATTGTAACTTCGAACAGTCACTAAGCGAACTGTTGTAAGTCGAGGACTACCTGTACTTCATCCCTTTTTTCCTTTTGGGGGGGGTCATCAAGTTTTTGACAGCTTGCTAGGCGACTGGTGGTCCTCGGATGTTTCCATATCCTAAAAGTGGTACAATGGGTGAAAAGGTTGAAAAGCCCTGGTGTAAGGTAACACTAGCCGAATCTTGCAAGCTAAAAATGTGTCTCTTTCCCCCCCCCCCTTTACAGTCCATGTCCTCCTTCCTTCGGTGGGCTCAGCGGCCTCTTACTTGCCAGTTGCCTCGTCTGCAGCTCTTCCTGTCCTCCCAAAACTGCTCGCACACGCCATTACAGGTAGTTCTCGACTTATGACCACAATTTCTGTTGCTAAGTGCGTCATTTGTTAAGTGAATTTTTGTCCCGTTTTTACGGCCTTTCTTGGCACATCTGTTAAGCCCGGGCTCCCCAACCTCTGAGCCGTGGCCCAGTAATGTGTGCGCGCACACTCCCTCGCTTGTGCTAGCACTGCGGCCGTGGGGCAGAAAAACAGGATGCCGTGCCACGGGGCGCAAAAACGGGCCACCGCTGTGCCTCGGGACACGAAAATAGGCCGCTGCTGGGTCTTGGGGAGTGAAAACGGGACCCCACCACGCTGCCTTGGAGTGCAAAAACAGGCTGGCGATGCCACACCAGAGGGTGCAAAAATGAGCCACTGCCACGCTGCAAGACACAAAAATAGATGCCACTGCACCACGGGGTGCAAAAACAGGGTGCCACCGCACCACAGGACACAAAAACGGGCTGCTGCAAGGCGCAAAAATGACCACCACCGCGCTGCGGGACACAGAAACAATACATTGCACCACGCAAGAACAGGGCAGGGCTAGTGAGTATCCTGTGGGCGCTAGCCCCACCCCATTTGCGGTATGCAGTTGTTAAGTGAGTGACAATGCTGTTAAGTGTCTCCTGCTTCCCCAACTGACTTTGTTTGTCGGACGATGACAAAAGGGGATCACGGGACTCCGGGATGCTGCAAGCATCATAAATACATGTCAGTGGACCAGTGTCTGAATTTTGATCACGGGGATGCCGCAACGGTCTTCAGTGTGAAAAAAAAGGTCATAAGTCGCTTTTTTCAGTGCCGTTGTAACTCTGAACGTTCGCTAAGTGAACCGTTGTAAGTCAAGGACTACCTGTGCAATGTTCCCATTTTCCTGTGCGAGGTTGTCTCCACCAGCACAACAACGGTGTTTCATATCAGCTTTCTTTGAAGTACAGTGTGCCGCCCTCCATAGCATGCAACATTGTTCTGGGGCTGCCCAGCATGCTGGGAGTTGCAGTCCAACAAATTTAGAGGGGAGGTCCAGGACAGAACACATTCAGCTGCATTTCCATTCGTTTGTCGCTTTGGGGACGACCAAACCAGGAATACACGGGGTACCCAGAACTTCCGAATTCACCTTTGCACACTCCAAAAGGGTCCGGCTGCTCCTTCTGGGTCCTGTTCCTCCCTGCTTAGTGCCCAGGGCGACTCTGACCGTTTTATTAGGGAGTCACTATTCTGAGCAATAACAAAGTTAAAAATAGATCCTGGTTTGTGCCTGGCGCTTCCCTCCAGCTTCTAATTGCTGGGAAGAAAAACAGGCCACGAACCCCACTGGCTTCATGTGGGCAGCTATTTTCAACGCTCTTTAGTGACGTCGCGCCCAAATCCTTTTTATATATATCTCCTTAGCACCATAATACATAACCTATATTAATCCTCTGAAAAGACAACAAAGCACAATCGCTGCCCGAGATTTAAAAGTGGGCCGCGCGTTCCCCAACATTAAACTACATTTTTTTTTGTTCCTTCCATCTTTAAGAGAAACCAGAACGGCGGAATCTGCAGGACGCAGTCTCAACGTCCTGCAGGACGGCAATCGGATCTGGCCGGCAGGTTCTGTAAGTGACCTTCATCTGCCCCACTGCTGGACGTGGGTCCTGCCTTCCCCCCCACCCACCCTCACCCCGACCAAACTACGCTCCCCGGAGCCCAACCTGACCCCTGTCAAAAGTTTGTCAACAGCGGTTCCCATCTGTCGTCTGGCCGGTTGCCCGGATCGATGGGCCAGCAGCAATTAGGATAAACTTGGGAGGATGGCGGTTTGGAAGCGAGCCAGATCTGACCATGATCTGATTTGGGGGCCACGAGGGAGTTGGACCTCCCAGCTGGGCGGCCGGCCAGCCCCCACCGTCCACCAGGCCTGATTCCCCCCCCTCCCCGCCCCCCGGATTCTGTCCTGTCCTGGCAGAATGCCGCCTGTCACTTAATCCCCTTTATAGCTGCCCATCACCGGCTCCTCCCCCACTGCATGCAACCGCTTCTCCTTCTCACCCCATGTGCACCTCTTGCAACTTCCCCCCACAAACCCCCAAGCTAAGCACAAAGGCAGGAGATTTGCACACGGCAACCTTCCTTATAAATATTCCTTGGGGCACGGGGAATCTTTCCTCCGAGGGCCCTGGAATTGAGCAGAACGCAAACTTGGACACTTTGAGACACACACACACACACACACACACACACACACACACACAACCTGCACAGGATTTCACACCTGGCCAGGCTGGAGAAAGGGATTTTTTTTATGACTAGCCGTCCCAAGTCATATCTCTTTAGGGAAATGCGTGAGGTTTTTCCCCCCCAGCCTCCCCCTTTTTTTCCAGGGGAACCCCAAAGTCTTAAATCATTCTTTCCCCCTCCCTCAGCTGCAGGAACCCCATTTTTTTTCTTTGCCATCTTGGAACGAATCAATTAACATTCAGGTTCAGCCCCCACAAAAAATCTCCCCCCCCAAACGGACTTTAATTAAAATGGCAAAAATGAAGCGGGGAGGTTGAGATGGTTTTGGAAATGTAAGGATTGGGGGAGGAAATGGGGAGGAATGTGGGGGGGTTATTTAGGGGGGGTGTTGCACGAACCCTTTGGGACTACTGGAGAAGGTTTTCATCTCATTCCAAAATATTCACGTCGGCTCCTTCAGGATCTGCTCGCTCGGATCCAGGAGGATTCGACTGCGAATCTGGTTTTTATTATTATTATTATATTATTATTATTATTGTTTTGTTGTTGTTATTATTATTATTGTTTTAGGGGTGCAGGCCCTCCCCCCTTTTCTACTGTAATGGCTCCTATTTTAGGAAGAACCCCAGAATCTTGGCTGTCCCCCCATCAAACCCCCCTCCCCAATTGGCCAAAAAATAAGGAACCACTTTCATCCCTCCCATCACCCCCCCCCACAAGGGGGACCCCCCCTTTCCCTGCTGACAAAGTGTCCTCAAAATCCGATCACCTGGAACGCCGCACTGGCGCCTCCCCATCTTCTTCCACCGATGCTGGTTCCCCCCCCTCCCCACCCATCCTTGTCTCCCTCTGGCCCAGCAGGAACAGGACACCCCCCCTCCCCACCTTGAGACTGCAACCTTCAGCCTGTGTGGCTGATGGGATTTGTAGTGCGGCATCCCTGGGGATTGGTGCTCCGCGGCTCCAACTTCTCTCCCCCTCTTTCCCATCATCAGCCCCTTCCCCAAACCTTAAGATTAAAACGTTCAGCAGCACCACTGGCCAGCTTGGCAGGTCCTCGGTGGCCGATGGGATATGTAGTGCGGTGTCCCTAGGGAATGATGCCAGCTGCCCGGCTCCCACTCCACACACACACACATACACACACCTTAGACCCTACAACGTTCAGCATCACCAGCCAGCTTGGCAGGTAGCCCATGGGATCTGTAGTCCCATGGGATCTGTAGTCCTGGGAGCGAGGCCAGCTCCCGGCTCCATTCCCCTCTACCACGCAATCCGCTCCTACCCCGCGCTGTAGACCCTGCAATCTTCAGTACCACCCACCAGCTCGGCCAGTCCCGTGCGGTCGATGGGATTTGTAGTCCGGCCTCCCTTGGGGAGGGGCGCTGCTCTCTTTGACCCTCGGTTATCAGCCTCCCCACCACACAGACACCTTAAGAGTGCAACTTTCAGCAACACCAGCCGGCTTGAGCACTCCGCAGCCGATGGGACTTGTAGTCCAGCAACCCCTCCGCTCACTTGCCCTCCCCACCCGC